TTAGTAACACATCTATTTATCATCTCTCAGTTGCATGTCTGTCTTTGGGTGAGTGCACTCAGAGGTGACTGTCAAGGGACAGAGTTGCAACTGAGGAAAATTATACCGAGAGGTGCCCAGCCCTGGGGAACAGCTGCCTAAGGCCACGCCCTCTTATTGCACCAGAGAGAAGGATCAGTGCTCGCACCGAGGCCAGTGCAACCAACGGTTGGGGGGGATGCGAGCAATTTTTGTTCTTGGTCTAGGTGCACGTGCTTGGGACCCCACCTTAAAAACCAACCTGGTGTCACAATCTGACTCAGTGGGGAGGGTAAAGTAAATGTAAATCACTCATGAGTGGTTTATAACATTTATCATCTCTCAGTTGTAAAAAAAAAAATACTTATAACAATGTTGCATAATATATTTTGTAAATTTCAACAGCGCCTCTATTTACGAAGAGATTCCCAAGACTAGTAAATGTCTAACAAAGACATTTATAATAATATTGTTCATTGTCTTAGTTTTTTTTACTCCAAGCAAGGTGATAATGCCAATAAGACACAAGAGGTTACTGAGAGCAGTAAAGAATGAGAATAATTTAGTGAGGAGAACGGACAAAAAAAAAAAAAAAAAAAAAATTCAGGAAGACAGAGGATGAGTGTATTGATGTTGCATTTAAAGTTTTGAAAATTATGAGTGGCAGGATAGCAAGAAAAAGGAAGTAAGTTCTAGAGATTAAAAGTGGTTTTGTTTGTTTTGTTTTATGGCATATCAACCTCAATAGGTCATTTAATGCCAACAACTTTTTTTTTTTTTTTTTCCTGGTAATATTTTTGTTTTGTCAAAAATCTATTTCTGTTAATATTTTTTCCTCAAAAACGTATGGCTGGCAACATCATTTTTTTCAAAAACGTATGGCTGGCAACATCATTTTTTTCAAAAACGTATGGCTGGCAACATCATTTTTTCAAAAACGTATGGCTGGCAACATCATTTTTTCAAAAACGTATGGCTGGCAACATCATTTTTTCAAAAACGTATGGCTGGCAACATCATTTTTTTCAAAAACGTATGGCTGGCAACATCATTTTTTTCAAAAACGTATGGCTGGCAACATCATTTTTTTAAAAAACGTATGGCTGGCAACATCATTTTTTTCAAAAACGTATGGCTGGCAATATCATTTTTTCAAAAACGTATGGCTGGCAACATCATTTTTTTCAAAAACGTATGGCTGGCAACATCATTTTTTTCAAAAACGTATGGCTGGCAACATCATTTTTTTCAAAAACGTATGGCTGGCAACATCATTTTTTTCAAAAACGTATGGCTGGCAACATCATTTTTTTTTTTTCAAAAACATAGCCGATATTATTTTTCAAAAACATATCGCCAGCAACACAATTCTTTCAAAAAAAATGTACAGCTCGTAATATATTTAAAAAAAAAAAAAAAAAAAGTACAGCTAGCAACATTATTTTTTCAAAAATGTATCATCAGAGGCCTTGCTGTTGGACGTAGTTTATCGTCATACCCAGGACAAGATCTGGGTTTGTAAGTTCTCTTAAGTATCATAGATCAACACCAATGGAAGTAAATCTCAGCTGAAAGCTGCTCTTTGTAACTACTTGACGACAGGAAAATCAATTGATTCATTTCTACCTCTAAGACAAAGGAAAGAAGAAAGGCACTCAAGGATTCTGAGCATTTAAGCAACTCTAGCAATTGTGATGAAGAAGAACCACCTCAGGTGACCTTCAGTTACAAGCACCAAGGCCAATGGTTTGCAGTATATTAATAATTCAACTTTAACATTGCAATATCAATTACTTGGTCATCTCCATTCAGTGCTGTGATAAAGTTTTTAGCTCCAACAAAGTGCAGAAATTATCATTTCCAATGGCCTTTGTCAGATGATATTGCACAAGTGATATAAACATTTGTCTTTGGATGAGACTTTGATGTAATGCCAGTTTCAAGTGATTGCTGAATATGGAATGTTCCAGAAATATTAGCTCAATCAGAGGCTTATAAAGAAATTAAGTCAGTTAATCACCATGAGGAGATGAAGTGCAGGATAATCAGTCACAATTTCCAGAAAGTCTTTTCTATCATTTTAAAGTACTATTATAAAGTATTTTTGTAAAACAAATTTCTAAGTTTTGCAGTCATTACTATCCTGTTTTTGAAAAGTTGAAAATTAGAAAATGACATTTCACAATATTTTCAAAAATATGAAACCTCTATTACAAAAAGTATTGATATTACAGTGAAAAGAATGGTTTATTGAATTCATCATCCCAGTAAAATTTCAAGCATGCACCTCCAATGGATACTTTTGACCTGTTTTTGCTCTACTGCCAAATTGCACTTCTGGCTGTTTTTATGTGATGTAAATATTATTTTTATACATATATATATATATATATATATATATATATATATATATATATATATATATGAGATACTAAGGAAGAAAAATGATCTTCAGCTCTGTTGTGCTATGAACTGTAGGAAGAAGTTGCAAGGCATTAACTGTTGAAATGAAATTTGTATGATCAGTCATATTTGTCCTTCTGTATGACATTACATTTATAATGATTTTTAACTTGTTTGAAGCCTGCATCTTCAGTCATACTTTGTTAAAATTAGTTTGTTTTTTTTTCAATACCACACGAGAAAAGTTTTTATTGGATTCGTAAATAGAAAATCCATTACTTCTTTAGAAAAGTTTATAAGATTTTATAAACTTTGTTGCTAATATAAGTTTGATACCATTTTTTATAGTTTGTCAAGATTACTATGTCTGTATTAAAAGGATTTTAGATATATATTGAAAAATTAAAATTTTAGTTTGGGATATCTATTATTAAAACTAAACATAACTGGTGATTTTTTTTCAGGTAGTAAGACAAAAGAGAGAATGTATGGTTGTCAGCAAAAGGAGCAACTCAAAATGCAAACTATAAATTGGAAAAACCAAAATCTAAAGCCACATTTGAATAGTGAAAGATGCTTTCCAAAAGACAAGTAAAGTATTAGGAAACAACAACAAAAGAGGAAAAGAGTACTTTTTTTTTTTTAATTGAATTCACCCCAAGCAAGTCAGTAAAAGCCACTAAGACTGAAGGGGGTAAATGGGTGTGAAACAATTAAGAAAACAGAAACATTTACATTATTCAGACTATTGTCCACATCTTTGTTGCCATATTCATTACAATGTTTTGGCCATTGTATGCTCCAGCCTTCTTCAGGTGGTTGGAATGTCGAACTGAACCCTTTATTTAGCTCACTGGGGTAGACCGTTTTAGTTCCACATGCCATGTTTAATGGATGTTATTTGTCAGTTATCTCCCGTTAATTCCCCTCTCCAAGTTATCCACTGCTTTAACCGGGTATTGAACTCACACTGGATCTAACTAATGCCTTTATCCACTGTACCATGTGTCCTAAAAGGTGCACATAATACCTCATCTCAGAAATATAGACAGAAACATTATTAAGGAGTGAGAACAATAGAAGAGTAATCAGGAAAACAGTAGAGAACTGACATTGCAATCATTTAAATTTTTGAATATCAAAGTTGGCTAGAAATGATAGAGCCGGAAGGGTGTTCCACAAGTGAGAAAACTGTTATACCTAGCCAATTCAACAGTAAATTGACAAGGCCTTGTCATCAATTTAGTACTGCACTTGAATTCATAAAGTCTACGTACCATACAGAAGACTTCATCTGAACAGTTACCATGAAAGTATTTAAAGAAAAGACACAGGGAAACAACTTTACAGTGATGGGAAAGTGACTGAAGCTGAGATGCCAGATCAGGACTGATAATATTGTTAATACTTCTTTGGATTTTACCAAGAATCTCTAAATATATAACAGAAGCACCAGACCATATGCAGCAGCAATATTCGAATCATGGACGAATGGTAGACTTATGTAATATTGGTCAGCAGTGACTGCTGGACTAGATTAAGAGATATGAGGTAACAAATGTGGTTCTACAGAAGGATGATGAGAATACCATGGAGTGAACATATGAGCAACAACAAAGTTTTAAAAAACACAGAAACAAAAAGAACACTTATATTTAGAATCTGATTGAAGGCAAGATGGACAAGAAAGCAGTGAAAAATCTAGTTTTGTGCAAATGGCTGGCAGAACAGGGTTTAGGAGAGTGAGTGAAAAATCAAACCTTAGTAAAGAGAGGAAGTTGTGGAAAGCCATGATCAACCATATTCTGACGGGATGGTGATATACTTTAAGTAAACATTAGGTTCAAGGCCTCAAATTTCCACAACCAAATTGTTCTGTAGACTGATGGATGAAAATGCTAAATAAGCAGACTGTTACCTGGCTGTTGTGAGTTCAATCCTCGTGTTTGGTTTATGCTAAAGTCAAACTGATTCAGTAGAAGATACAAGTAGCATCACAAGAAAAATTTGACTGATACGAGATAATGTTTAGTACCGATAGCAGAAGGTGATTAATGACAATTAAATTAAAAAAATCTTAGTCTTCAATTTTGCTTTTACAAAATTATTTAATTATTCCATGTATTCTTTAGAGCAGCATCATCATTTTTGAAGCTCACCATTTTGGCCAGCCAACTCTCTAATCTTCCCTAGTTGTATGTTGCTTCAATAATCTTCACAAAACCAGAAACTACAGAAGGCTGCTATATGTAAAACATGAAAAAGACTGGAGAATGAACCAGGTGAAATACTGATTGAAATAAAGATACTAGTTTAAATAATTCATAGAATAACAACAATAGTCTGAGAATTTTCAGGAATGTGGGTCTTTGTATCAAGAGCTCATACAGTTTTTTAATCTATAAAAATCAGATTTGGATTTCAAACCACCTTTCAAGTAAAACCATTCTTGTGTTTACAAGGTTTGGAAAATTGACAGCAGAAATTCTGGTTCAGATGGCGGTTCTTTAACTAGTTTTGTTGGCAGAAGCAGGAATTCTACATGTTGGCTTGTAACTCCTATCAAGAGATTTACTCACCTGAAGCCTGTGGAGTTATGCCAGGTCCACCTGCTTTAAAGAAAAAAAAAAAAAAAAAAAAAAAAAAAAAAAAGAGGCTTATTACTTATACACAAAAATAAAAAAAATTGTATTTAGACAAAGGTTAAAACAAAAATTAATAAATTCATTAAGTAAACGTAAGACCAATAAGATTTTCAAGAACACTTGGCAGAATATTTGTAAAACCTCCTTAAAGTAACTTAGCCACAACATAAAACACACATCTATGGATAATATTTTTAATAGCCTGACCATGAGTTATCTATTATCGCATGACTGTTGTCCTATCCACTTTCTTATTCTTTTCCTTATCCCGCACAATATTTAGGCAAGACAGGAAAATCTTATATCAAATCAGCAAAACAAGTGTAGGATTGTGAAAGAAATTGTTCTAATATCTACAAGAACAGATTTTTTTTTTTTAACATTCTGCACTAAAGCCATTTAGAGTTTCTTCTTAATAAACTTAGAAAAATTATGAATACAGACAAATATTCAAGATATTTTGGTAGATTATTTAAAAAAAAATAAATCAAATTATTTTAAAATGTTGCTTTCATTTCATATATAAAAAATGCTGAAACAATTTTGTTTCGTTTTTAACAGGCATCAATATGATACAACTACAGACACTTGATAGCAAACTTGACATCCGAGCCTAAATTCAGAGGTTTTTGGGTTTTTTTTTTTAATTTGATGAGAGGAGCAATCATCTTGTTCAAATGATCAAAATAACAATGGTTAAGATGCTAGTCTAAATCATTCAAAAGTTATCCCTATTTGAATTATTTTGGAATGGAACCCTTACTTGGTTTTATTTAGACTAATTTTCATCCAAAAGGTTAGAGTTCAGAAAGCAGAACATGATAGAAAAAAAATAAAAATCTATTACATTTTCATTTTAATGTTTGTAAACATTTTACTATTTATTATTTAAAATCTTTTTCCTATATTGTGCAACACTATATATTTGTGTATAATGATTTTTTTCTTTACTAATGTTCACCCAATACAAGAGCCACTCAAAGTAGAGGGCTACTGTGTAGAGTTGTATTAGCATAAGAATGGGCAAGATAAACAGGAAATATAGAAAGCTCATTAAAGACATGAAGAGGTCAAGATTTAATTAGTAAATAAAATTTCAGAGATGTTAGGAGTACAGAGTTGAAGTAGACTTTAGAACAGTTGTTCTCCAATGGTGCAGCTGGGTGCACTAGTGCGCCCTGGCACTCCAGAGAAGTATGTATCCAGATATAAGAAATAAATATATTTACTTTATTATATTGCGGTACTTGTCTTGTTGTGGATAGCCCTCAAGGAAAGCTTCAATGATTGAAAGTTTTCGTTTTGCTGTATTGAACTGGTATGAATTGTTGGTCAATCCTCCATGCCTAGTTCAATTACTAAAAGATGTATTATATAACATAAAATGATGATGAGGAGGAGGAGGATTAAGATTGTTTATTTAAAAGTTGTCTTATTTATACTTTCATAGTAATTTATCATTTATAATTTATCACTTATTTGTTTATAAGCAAATGTGATAAATTAGTTACTTTATCATATCCACTGATTGCAGGTTGATGATTAACCATAATGAATTATCTCTTGAAGCTTTTTGGATTTCTATAAAAGAATATATGTCAATATCTAAAAAAAGCTTTGACCATTTTACAATATCATATTTATGTAGATTTCTGCTCTCACCAAAATTAAGTGCAAAAAGAGAGGAACTCTTTAATGTATTGAGAGGGAAATGAGAGTTTGCCTATCAAATATACACCCAAACATTGAAGAAATCAAGATTAATCAGGCTCATGTTTCCCATAAACACAAAAATGAATAAACTTAAGGAATGTTTCATTTTATATTTTTATTGCATTATTTTTCTACAATATTTGACTTCATTATAACATATTTTTCAGAAATTTGTATATAGTGCGCACACAATTATTGGTAGGATTTCAAGTGCATGCCGACTTAAAAAAAGCCTGAGAACCACTGCTTTAGAAGGAACTGGAAACCCAATCCTAAACAGGATCAAGGCATGAACCACTACTGCTGTTCAAAAGACTGGAGAGGAGTGTGAGCCGGACAATAGGCAAACTTATCTACTCCTACAATTTTCATACAAGATTCTTATTCTTTATAGAATCCCATGTTTAAATCTGGTAGCAAGAATAAAATTTAATATCTGACAAAATTTTCACGATTTACTTAAAAAAAGAAAACTGTCACTATAATATAGACTGTGCCATTGTGAAAAAAATAAAAATTTCACTGCAATTCTAACCACAACATTTTTTTGAAAAATTTGGAGATTCTGGGTTGATTTGGAAATGTATCTGATTGACAATTTATATAAGGCTAAACCTACATTAATTATTTTTGTTATTTTTGTTCAACACTAAACAAAAGTAAATACAAACTTTCTATGATAAAACCAAGCAAAAATGTAATGTTGCATATGCAAATTTTGAAATAGCTAAATGATGCTATTTTCAAGTTATTATCTTAAAAAAAATTGGAGATAAAGTGTTAAATAAACTAAACAGGTCATAGCATAGAAAATGAAATTGGAACAGTGAATTTAAATTCTGGTTAATGTCTTACATTCAATTTATTACTCTTCTTAGAAAAGGCATAAATTTACTACTCCCTATGTCCCACTGTCATCAGATATCTTGATAAATTTACTATTATCCTAATGCTTGATGATAAACCACTCTCCCATTACTCATGCTGGTTGTGGCACTTAACTCCTTTTTTAACAGAGAAAAACTTCCAAAGTTTTGCTGATAACAGTGAAAGGTTTCCTTGACAATCGAACTTGAAAAAAATAAAAAAAAATAAAATAAAATAAAAATGTAATTTTGTATGTCGAACTAAGAGAACTTAAGGATATTTTTCAAAAGAATTCCAAGTAATTAGCTAGTGATTCAAGGTCAATAGTTTACTTTAACCAGACCAGCTCGTACAAGCCATCGTAGTACAATAAAATTAATTCACAGAATTCTTCTTACATCATCTTGTTTACCATGAAAAAATAAAAATAAAACTAGCTTTTCTTGAGGTATTATTATTTACCAGCAAAAATACGTTAAAGTCTTTTTTTTTTTTTCGACACCAGATGTGACCAAAGTGTTGTTGAGTGTTTACAATTGTTTATCATGCATGATAAAATCAAGTTCATTAGTATATACTGTAAGTGACGATCAAGTTTATAAATTTACATCAGACTAAAAAAAAAATTGTCCCTGATAAAAAAAAAAAAAAAAAAAAAAAAATCAAAAATCAGTCACAAGGGAGATTATTATCTCATTCGGCATTATTCAATACAAAAGCTTTTTAAAGTAATAGTTCCCGCTATTTTCAGTGTTTTAACCCTTGGGCAAATGATGTTACAAAACACAGAATAATTAAAATAAATTAAATATTATAAAAATAAAATACCAGAAGAGAAAAATAGCTGTAAAATTCTCTTTACTTTTTTTTTTTTAAATAAAAGAAGCAAAATCTTCGTTAAGAGCTTAAAAATTACATACTTTAACAAAAAAAGGAAAAGAAAAACTTTCTAGTTAACTTACGAAACGGTTATCTTAAACATTATTTGAAATTTGAAAGGAGTTTTTAAGGGAAAAAAAGTTTTTATCTGGGTAAGTGACAACAGAATGTAGTGAAAGTGAGCGTTTTTTAGACAAATGTGGTTGGGTCACTGTTTAATTAGCAACACCTTTTACGTGTGTCGAGTTCTTTTTCTTCTAAAAAAAAAAAAAAAATGTGGGTAGTAGTTGTAGATAACACCCATTATATCGACTAAAATTAACGTAAAAATAAAGTAGAAAAAAAAAAAAAAGAATGGAACATCCAAAAGAAAGTTTTAAAAAGTTCGATATTTTCACATTAAAAAAAAAAAATGATCTAAAATAAAAAAAAACAAACAAAAAAACAAAAACAAAAACGTTGACTTATAATAAACAAGTGCTCGCTATATAAGAGAAGTTAACTTTGAAACTATTCAAAAAAATAATTTCCGAATAAGTATATATTCAGTAACAAATGCAAATGAAATATTAACTAAAAATTACAATTTAACAGCTTCTTCACAAGTTCTGGGATTTTTACTTTCTTTCTATACAAAGAGGTGTCAAATTTACACGCGTTAGTTTCATTAGTTGGTATTTTTATTTATTTAATAGACAAATTATTTTTATTGATTATATTATTAGGAAGAATAAAAAATTCTAACTTTGTTTTTCTTATCACTTGAAGTTTTAAAAGGATTAATTTCAAAGCTCGAAGCGTCGAACGTGGTAATCGGGTGGATAGTCGTGAGGTTTTCGACAAAATAGTACAACTCCCCCCCCCAAAAAAAGTCATGAACCAATTTTGCAGCATTTTCATTCTTCAATCAAAGTTGGTATCTCAGTAATGACATTAATAACAACAGACATTAATGCTGGCAATTTCCAAAAGGAAATATATTAGGAAAAGCCGACTCATCTGAAAGGAAGGGGGAGAAAAAAAAAATAAGGGTTTTTATCAAAATATCCAAGCTACCCGAATCATTTCAGACATTAACGTTGTCTGCAAAACACGTCTGTTTTATAAACACCATTTCGACACATTTACAACTGAAAAGTATTTAAAGAGATGATATATATACATATACATACCACACACAGCAGTTTAGTAACAAAGTCTATTCATAAATATCTTTAGATTATCCGACAAAATAACGCGATAACTATCCACCCGGTATTTAAAAGCACACATGACAGATTCTAATAAGGAATTTTTTAAACTACTACTATTTAGTCGTCTCTTTTATAATACATAAATATTTCTTTGAAATATATTTTTATTAATAAAGTTTATTAAAAAAAATACAACCAAAAAAAGCATTTGAAGAAGTTAAAAGGCTAGGGCAAAAAAAAAAAAGTATTTTATAAAACTTGTTTTAGGAGTTTAAAACAAACAAAAAACGATTTCGTTATTTTTGACAGATATGAAATCAAATTCATACATTTTTAAAACGAGATCTACTTTAACAAAATTAAGTTTGATTAAAAAAAATTAAATTACAGAGAGATGGGGGAAAAAATCTATTTTTAATATTTTTAAGTTAATATTTTTTTATTTATGCAAATTAGTAACAAGTTTTATTTGTTTTACTTTTATATAATCTATATTTTAATTAAATTAAATAAATTTAAGAGACTCATTTATCTGCATTCATTTTTTTTTTCAATAATATTATTTAAATAAAATGAATTTGTTTATTTATTTTTTCCGGTGTGGGATCAGATCGAGAAGGTTTGTTTGATGCTGTCTCTTTTTAATCAAAAGTTTGACAACAATTAAATGTCATCACACGGAGTTATTTAGCTAAGAAAGTAAGTTTATTACTTACCTGGAAGCTGCACTGGGTACATTATAAATTATTATTTTGAAGCAGAAATTAATCAACAAAAATTAAAAGATGATGTTGAAGGCTTCGTGTCTCTGCTTGTCTCCGCTGTCGTCAAGTGCTCGTCTTTAAGGTGAGGAACAGAAAACTTTTTTTCAACACTTTCAAACAACGTTAAATTGCCTTCGACACTGTTTAATAATAATAATCTTTACTTATTCTTTTAAATTTTTTCTGCCTGGATTACTAAAGAGACCAAGACAGTAGTAAAAGAAAGACGTTACTTATATCTACGTGTGTGTGTGTGTGTGTGTGTATGTATGTATACATATATATAGATATATATAAAGACATACATATACATACATACACACACCTACACCCGGTAGGTTTGTGTATATTTAGGTAGTTAAAAAAAAAAAAAGGTAAAAACAAAGGTGGAGGGAAAAAAAATAGACAGCGGTTTGCGAGGCGACGACCACAATTAAGCAAAGCAAGACACTTAAGTCAGCTACGGCCAGAATGAGAGAAAAGAGAAACATATAAAGGGGGAAAACGAAAGGGGGAGGACACGGTAACCGACGGGTGTGGAGAAGGTAAGCTTTGATAAGAGAGGAGGGAAGAAAGAAGATGAGCGTGATAGATAGAAAGAATTATTAAGAGTGTAAGAGGAACATCGAATTGTGGAGAGTGATGACGGAACGAAGGTGGTGTTCGAAAAATGCTATTCCGTTTATTCTGTTAATCTTTGGTGACTTGGCTTCCACCAGTGCATTGCGTAATCACTTGGAGAAAAAAAAAAGATTTTTTTTTTTTAACTTTGATGACTTTTACATTGCATTCGTTTTTTTCTTTCTTTCCAGTCTGCTCCTTAAATTTACAAATGACCACGGTTTCGAATTAAACAGACATATGAAAAAATTCATGAAATTTTCTTTAAAATATATTTAAAAAAAAAAATCCTAGTTTACTCACGCGATAAATATCACTTATTTTAAATTAAAATTATTGACTCATCGTGTTCCAAATCCTTTACACTCGATGTTAAGTTATAGTTTCATCAAATTACAATAATTTATTTAAATTTGAATATTATTTTTCGAAATGTTTACTTTAATAAACCGTTATTTTTGCACTTGATTGAACATGTTTTTCAAGATGCCGACAGTGGGTGAGGGTTGGCATTGTTCCATTGTTGTTTCTTTTTTATTACACTTATTAATTAAATAAATGAAGAAATCTAACGAAAATTTTCGGAAATTATGTCCGTAGTGTCAGACTAGTAAAAAGTTAAAATACGATTTTATTTTTTTTTTCCCGTATGAAAGGAGATTGCAAAGCAACTTTAATTCATTGGCCGGTGTTCGAATCCAGGTACAAGCGAAGAATTTAAAATGTTAAAATAAATGCTGATATTTTTAATTTTAAGGCAGCATTCCCTCTGCCACATTTCAATGACTAAGTCACTCCTTTGATCTTGTGCCATACTAAATTAAAGAGTAGAAAGTATACACGCGCATGTGTCACTTCACAAATAAATTTTTCAACAGAAATTTGTCATTTTTTTGTTAATTTTTAAACATAAATAAAAATAGTTAACCCATTTGTTTTTATTCATTAATTTGCAATATGTACAGTGTAAACATGATGAATAGACTGTGTAGAGTAGATATTAAACTTAGCCTGACACAAGGCCACAATAATGGAGCTCCAAATCACCCACTAGCTAATTTACTAATCATCAGAAAGTGTTCAAATTTAAAAAACTGGCCAGCACGCCCCCACCAATTAATATGTACCCGACTGCCAATCTATGATACAGGCACTTCGATTCTACTATATCTCAAATTTCATAAGTTAGTATTCATGTAAAATACAAATCTTATATTGTAACCTATAATTATGTACATTTATGGATCATATGCAAAAGAGATGAATAATTCAGCTAGAAAATTGAAATTAAATACAATGTATCTAAATTCAATTAGAGACCTGTCATTCCTTTATCTTGCTAAAAAAGTTGAATAATTTTTTAATACATTCAACATTATGGATGAAAAATAGTTAATTTTATATTCCGTGTTGTTTTTTCAAGACTTCATATGAGTAAAAAAAAAAAATTCATGGATTAGGACAAAAAACAAAACATAAGAATGATGCCAAAATCTGTTAAAAGCAAATGTTAGGATAGTTAGAGTCACAAAATAGTGTCTGGGGTCCCCAAACAGGCTCACCCAGTCATAGGGAGTGGTTGGGGTTAGTATGCACTAGCCTTAAGTTTGGCACAAGTTAAACATTTTTAAACACCGAGTGATGATCGAATTCACTGAAAATGCAAATTGGTCTGCAATCCGAGGTGGCTAAACATCATTTTGAAGGAGGACAATCCTTAGAGATTGATTCACACATTTATTCACACTTTGCCATTTTAATAATGAGTCAACCTTAGCTTAGTCTGGCACAAGGTCACACTGGTGGAGCACCTAGTGAAAAGTGAATGTACTACATAAACAATAGTTTGAGTTTAGATAGCTAACCAGTGTGCTATGGCAAAAGAACAATTCGTTGTGTAAACAATGAAAAGCTGGAGAAGATCTTTGTGTTGCCACTCTTAATTCTGTGACACATGAACAATTATTGCTTTTTATATAAATATCAGTAATTAACCCTATTAGGGGATAAAATAGTTGCTTAGTGTTCCATCCCAACTGAAACTCAGGTTCTTAACTGTTGTCTTACAAAGCCTGTTTCATTTGAAAGATTCGTGTAACATAATTTTACTACCTTTTTATTTTCCCTTGTTTAAACTTGGATGCTATATCCTGCCTTGTGGTTGAGGTAGTTGTATATGGTTCTAGTAGTTGGTGCTTAAATCCAAATAGAGAGAAGATCGTGAATGTTGATTTTCAAGGCAGGTCAGTCCTCCCCTCGTGAAAGACTGGCACAAAATTTCTTCATTTGATTTTTCACCAGACCAGGCTATGCTAAGTCTTTTTTTTTTAAATGGTATATTCCTTCAAAACTTAGATAATCATAGCACTTCACAGTTTCCTTTATAATATCTGTGAATTCTTGGAAAAGATAGTTTCCTGTTACCTTCTCCACAGTTGTGAATTCAGAATAATCTTTCGCTTAGAATGCCTGCATCCTAAAACTAGAGAGCCTAGTACACCTTGCTATTTAAACCATATCTGAGGGGAAAAGAGATGGAGTCATGTCTTTTACTAGGGTATTACTGGTTTTAATACCAAATAGTCCTCCTTCTAGACTGGTTGCCATTCTAAGCAAATGCCCAGTATACTTTGCTATTTAACCCATAGATAAAGGGAGAAGAGTTGAATTCATACTTTTCCAACGGCATTACTCATTTTAATTTAAAACAGTCCTCCTTCTAGACTGGCTGTCATTTTTTTTACAGTGATGTTCACCCTTCAAGGTAAAGATTTACAGAGTGAGAGGCATAATTTATGTGGATATGTGGGGAACATAGCGGTTAACCCTAGACTTGAACAGATTAAGATTGTTGTGATCGGGGAAGCAACCTCTTGGGAGTTGGTTCCACATATCAGTGGTTTGTGGGAAGAAGCTGCTTGAGTGGAACTTCCATCTCACCAAGGAATTTGCGTAGTTCGCTGCAATGCTATTTAAACAAAAAATGCAACATCATTTTTTTTCCACAGACATTTTAAAATAAGCTGAAGTGCCAAAAAAGCTGTGCAATGGGTGATATTGCCTTATCTTACTTATAAAAACAGATGATATATGCATGATATGATATGTAAAGAGGTAGTGTAGCTGTGGCAGCAGTAGGACATAAACAGGATTTAACAACATTTAACTGGAGAATAATCATTAAGAACCAGAAAGATGGGTTATGCTACCTTTAAGGTAGCAGTTACACTTGGTTTTTCTCAGCCAACATAACAAGAGGTTACCAGAAATACAAGACAGGTATCAGCTGAATGGGAAAAATTTCTGATTTCTATAGATGAAAAAATTGGGCTATTACTGGTTGACAAAGAGGGTAACCACCCAATGAAGAGGAACTTTATTCATGCCAGACTATAAAAAGGTTTACCTGTCTATGTCTCTGAGATGAGGCATTATGATTTGCTAACATTATTTACATTATTCGTTATCCTCATCTTCATTGCCATATTCACAAGGACACATGGCCCAGTGGATAAAGACATTGGTTAGATCCAGTGACAAACTTCTAGTGATATAATGGCTGTCTATATCTCTGAGGTGAGGTATTATGATTACTTGCATTCTTTACATTATTCAGACTGTTATCCTCATCTTCATTGCCATATTCACAAGGACACATGGCCCAGTGGATAAAGACGTTGGTTAGATCCAGTGACAAACTTCTAGTGATATAATGGCTGTCTATATCTCTGAGGTGAGGTATTATGATTACTTGCATTATTTACATTATTCAGACTGTTATCCTCATCTTCATTGCCATATTCACAAGGACACATGGCCCAGTGGATAAAGACGTTGGTTAGATCCAGTGACTAGCTTCTAGTGATATAATGGCTGTCTATATCTCTGAGGTGAGGTATTATGATTACTTGCATTATTTACATTATTCAGACTGTTATCCTCATCTTCATTGCCATATTCACAAGGACACATGGCCCAGTGGATAAAGACGTTGGTTAGATCCAGTGACTAGCTTCTAGTGATATAATGGCTGTCTATATCTCTGAGGTGAGGTATTATGATTATATTATTTACATTATTCAGACTGTTATCCTCATCTTCATTGCCATATTCACAAGGACACATGGCCCAGTGGATAAAGACGTTGGTTAGATCAGTGACTAGCTTCTAGTGATATAATGGCTGTCTATATCTGAGGTGAGGTATTATGATTACTTGCATTCTTTACATTATTCAGACTGTTATCCTCATCTTCATTGCCATATTCACAAGGACACATGGCCCAGTGGATAAAGACGTTGGTTAGATCCAGTGACAAACTTCTAGTGATATAATGGCTGTCTATATCTCTGAGGTGAGGTATTATGATTACTTGCATTATTTACATTACTCAGAATGTTATCCCATATTCATTGCCATATTCACAAGGACGCATGGCCCAGTGGATAAAGACGTTGGTTAGATCCAGTGACAAGCTTCTAGTGATATAATGGCTTTCTATATCTCTGAGGTGAGGTATTATGATTACTTGCATTCTTTACATTATTCAGACTGTTATCCTCATCTTCATTGCCATATTCACAAGGACACATGGCCCAGTGGATAAAGACGTTGGTTAGATCCAGTGACAAACTTCTAGTGATATAATGGCTGTCTATATCTCTGAGGTGAGGTATTATGATTACTTGCATTATTTACATTACTCAGAATGTTATCCACATATTCATTGCCATATTCACAAGGACGCATGGCCCAGTGGATAAAGACGTTGGTTAGATCCAGTGACAAGCTTCTAGTGATATAATGGCTGTCTATATCTCTGAGGTGAGGTATTATGATTACTTGCATTCTTTACATTATTCAGACTGTTATCCTCATCTTCATTGCCATATTCACAAGGACACATGGCCCAGTGGATAAAGACGTTGGTTAGATCCAGTGACAAGCTTCTAGTGATATAATGGCTGTCTATATCTCTGAGGTGAGGTATTATGATTACTTGCATTATTTACATTATTCAGAATGTTATCCACATATTCATTGCCATATTCA